ACTGGATCTCCCTTATGTCCCAAATCTGGCACAAAAGAGGGAAGTCAGAACCAGGTTGCTACCCTTTCTACTCAGGTCTAAATACTGGACTATACTAGCTCTTCACAGCAAACAAAAACCAGTGTCTGGCACCAAACAGTATCTTACAGCCAGCAATAAACTCAAAACTCAAAAGCTCAGAAACTTCAAAGCTCAAGACACAAAATCTCAAAAGCCTCAATACAAAACAATCTTACAAGCATTTCTGCTGGAGAGGACCTGCCTCCTCCTTTTTCACCCACTTCAATCCATGCTCACTAATGCCTGGTGTGGGGGGTCTTCTTCCTGAACATACTGGTTACTTCTGAGCCCTACCACAATGACAATGACAACAACAACAATGACACTGACAACAAGGAAAGCAGTTACTTCTGAGTCCTACCACAACAACAACAGTGACAACAAGGAAAGTGCTGTGGGTGCTTGACCCCCTGTCCTGCAGGAGTTCCCTTTAGCAATGCTGACCCTTCACCGGGTATGCCCACCCCTCACTGGGGCGAGTTCTATAATCACAATAACAGTAACAGTGTAGGTGTCCCTACCGTAACAGCAACACTTCAAGTACAACACAAACACAGAAAATAGGCAAAAGTGGTGGAAACAGGGCTGAGAGCCTGAAGAAAGGGGACAGAGAGGAGGCAAAAAGTGGTGGGAACAGGGCTTAGAGCTGAGAGGGAGAGAGAGACTGGAATTTAAGATAGGGAAGGGACCAGGGCTCAGTAAAACACAACCCAACTTGGGGTTACAAATGATAGTCGTTTTATTGAACAGGGGAGATGGTGACATGATATTTTATTGGTTCCTTTGTGTGCACGCATGCACGCACGCACGCATGCACACACACAATGGCAGCAGGGGTTAAAGATGCTTGGTGCAGGGGCTGAAGTACAGGAGGAAAGAGAGAGAGTCCAAATTGGAGGAGGAAATATGCAGGTGATATCTACCTAACCCAGGCTGACAGTGGGTCCTCAATGGCCAGTCGGGGTCTCCTTCAGCTCGGTGTTGTCCAGAGGTGGATATCTGCAGGGCCTTCTGGGGTGGATAGGTGGTGTGATGTGGAGCTGATCTGGTCCAGATAGAAATGGTGTTCCCCAGGAGTCAGTCTTCACTACCCCTTTTTCTGGGGTAGACTACCTATGATCTCCTATGGGAGGGCCTGTCCAGGCAAGGTTAGTCCTGTTCCAGAGGGTTCCAGATGTTCTTACTGAGCATGTGCAGCCTTGGCACAATGGTAGGTTGCCTCATCTTTTGTTTCTTGAATGCTGAGGGTGGTTCCAATGGCTGGATCACTGGTCCAGGTATTGGTGTTGATGGTTCAGTCATTCACAGGGAGCTATTTTTAGACCTACTGCCATTGTCTCTCAAACACCCTCATTCATCCACATTCATTCAGGAACCTAGTTACATAGGAGGGGTAGTATGAGTCATAGGTTACACAATCGGGCATGGGGATAAGATGGAGGCTTGATATTACAAGATGGAAACTTGACATGACTTACGCTAACTTACATATATAGGCCTAAAACAGTAACCACACAATATAAAAGCAGTAAAAAATAAAATAAAATAATCAATACAAACATAATAATTATCACTTACAAAACAGTGGATATGTATATCAAAGTAGCAGGGCACTTATTTGCAGAGGGGAGAGAAATAAAACTTACTACCTGAAATAAAATGTTAAAGCTTATCCTACATCTTAGCTTACTTATACTTATCTATAGGGAATAGAGAGGGAGAGACAAAGTCAGAAATGGTTGGGGAAGGGAAAGGAGTGCATTTTAAAAGAAAAAAAAAAAGTAAAACTGGGGGTTTTGCTACAGAAGCAGGCTAAGGAGAAGAGAAGCAAAACAGTCTCTTGTCCACTGGAGCAGGCAGCATAGCCCAGGACTGCAAAGCATCCTGGGATGCAAGGGACTGTGAGTTAACCAGTTAGCACAGTTTGGAGAGGAGGTGAACATGCAACAGTGGTGAAAGAACAGGTTAGGGACTATTTAGAAAAGCTGGACATATAAAAGTTCATGGGGCCAAATGGGATGCACTTGAGGGTGCTGAGGGAGTTGGCTGATGAGACTGCAGAGCCATTGGCCATCTTCTTTGAAAGCTCATGGTGTTCAGGAGAGGTCCCAGATGATTGGAAAAGGGCAAACATAATCCCCATATTTAAGAAAATGAAGATGGAGGATCCAGGGAACTACAGACCAATCAGCCTTACTTCAGTTCCTGGAAAAATCATGGAGCAGATCCTCAAGGAATCCATTTCTAAACACTTGGAGGAGGAGAAGGTGATTAGGAATGGATTGACCAAGGGCCTGGATTCCCCAAGGGCAAGTCATGCCTGTCCAACCCGATAGCCTTCTATGCTGATGAGATGACTGGCTCTGTGCATGCAGAGAAACCACTGTATGTGATATACAGGAAACCCTCAGTATTTGTGGGCTCAGCATTCAGTTTTAAATATTTGTGAATGCTGAACCTGCTTTTTAAATATGCTTTAAACACTTACTGGAGCTTCTTGGGAGCTCCGTGCTTGCTGCTGTTGGGCTCCCACCACTGTCACTGAGCTCCCACTGTTGCCACCACACTCCTGCCATCGCCGTTACCCCTCAACCACTGGGGGCATTGTGTTCATGAATGCAGATTGCATTCATGAATGCAGTGCCCTATTCACAGATTTTGCCATTTGCGGGGATCATGGGAACGTATCCCCCATGAATGATGAGGGTTGCCTGTACCTTGATTTTAGCAGGGCTTTTGATGCAGTTTTCCACAACATTCTCGCAGGAAAGCTAAGGAAGTATGGGCTGGATGAATGGACTGTAGGGTGGATAGAAAACTGGTTGAAGCATCAGGTTTAGAGAGTAATAATCAATGGCTCGATGTCTAGCTGGCATCAAGTGGAGTGCCCCATGGGGTTGATCCCGGGGCCCATTTTGTTCAACATCTTCTTCAGTGATCTAGAAGACAGCGTAGAGTGCACCCTCAGCAAGTTTGCAGATGACACCAAGGTGGGGGGGGGGGAGTAGCAAATATGCTGGAGGGTAGGGCTAGGATTTAGAGGAACCTAGATTAATTGGAGCATTAGGCCAAAAGGAATCTCATGGAGTTCAGCAAGGACAAATGGAAAGTCCTGCACTTAGGATGGAACAGTCCCATGCATCAGTACAGGCTGGGGGATGACTGGCTAGGCAGCAGCTCTGCAGAAAACCTGAGGGATACAGGGAGAATAAGATGATTATGAGCAAGCAGTATGCCCTTGTTGCAAAGAAGGCTAACAGCATACTGGGCTGCATTGGTAGGAATGTTGCCAGCAGGTCAAGGGACCTTCTCTTCTCTTCTCTTCTCTTCTCTTCTCTTCTCTTCTGTTCAGCACTGGTGAGTCCACATCTGGAGTACTATGTTCTGTTTTGGGCCCCCCACTACAAAAAGGATGTGGACAAATTAAAGAGGGTCCAGAGGAGGGCAACAAAAATGGTGAAGGGACTGGGGGACATGACTTATGAGGAAAGACTGAGGGAACTGGGCTTATTTAATCTAGAGAAGAGGAGACTGAGAGGGGATTTAATAGCAGCCTTTAACTACCTGAAGTAGGATTCAAAAGAGGATGGAGCTAAACTGTTCTCAGTGGTGGCAGATGACAGAATGAGCGCAACAGTCTCAAGTTGCAGCAAGGGAAGTTTAGGTTAGATATTACGAAGAATTTTCTCACTAGGAGGTTAGTAAAGAAGACTGGACAGGTACCTGGATGGATTCACATGACCCCAGGTTTGGTGACCCTTTTCTTGCCTGCCAGGGGCAGGGGGTTGGACTAGATGGCCCACTGAGGTCCCTTCTGACTCTAGAATCTATGAATCTATTAAACAAACCACTGGAACAGGTTACCCAAAGAGATGGTGGAATCTCTGTCTTTGGAGGTTTTGCATTGAACTTTTGTTCTGTTAGAGGTTCAAACCACTTTCTTATCACTTAAGCCAGTTTATGTATAACTTCTGTCCCTAGCCCATGACTAGAACTTTGTGTTACATGTAGCCATGCTGATGCCAGTGGAACTCTGCAGAGAACAACATACAGGATCAAATTTGCTTTTAGACACAGTCCTTTTGTCTGTGCCTCTTAGCCTTCTCATTTGAAACCTGTTGACAACATCTCCAAGTCTACCTCAAATCACCTAGAATTGCACTGTCCCATTGTTGGACATGGATTCCCATCTTGGATTTCCCTTCTAGGCATGCACACATTAATTAGAAGTGGGAAGGTTCTGGAACAGCTGAACTTTTCTACCTTGATGATATCAATGACCCACTTACCGCCAGAGAATATGTGCAATGGCCTACTTGTTCCATTTTGGTGTCATGTGCTACACTTAAGCCCTAGGTGCACAGTATTTTGGGTGTCGTGCACAGGGGTATGATTGGTTGAAAGCATAATTGACATATGGGGTGACATATGGGGCCCAATATATATGGAATCCTGAGAGGATTGTGCACAAGGAGGATTTAGTGCACAATTGCACTATGGGCAATTAAGTTGTTCAGTTGGGGTGCAATTGTTGGATTGAGATTGAAGCATGATGTGCATGATTGGATATGTGGTATATAGAATGTACCTTTAAGGGGCGAACAGTGGTACAGTCCAGTCTTTCCCCCAGATGCCCAGTGGGTGCAGTTTGGTTGGTGTGGTTGTTCTCCCCACAAGCTGTGAGTGTGTGTGTTGCTGAATCCTGTTCCTAATAAAGATAAAGCTGTTTACCATCCCACTGGACTCTGCTGAATGAGGGTAGAACCCCAGAGGCATGGAGATCTGAGTAAGTACCTGTAACAGGGAACCTGAGCCCAGTTACCAGAAAGCAGGCTGGTCCCTTTAAGACCAGAACTTTCCAGGCACAGCTTGCTGGCAGGGTAGCGGTTAAAAGCTGAGCCTGGCCAGCTAGTCAGGTGACTGGAAAGGGGCAGGCCAGGATTATAAAAACCCTGGACTTGGCTGCAGTTGGAGACAGTGGGCAAAGGGGAAGGAGGTTGTGCATGTGAGCTCCACAGAGAGGCTTGGCTGCTGGTCTGGCTGCTGTGAGAAGGGAACTCATGATGACTCTCAGAGAAGCAGTGGTAGTGTCAGAGGGGGGAGTGTCACAGACAGTGGGAAAGCAGAAGCACCAAGCCACAAAGAAATGTAAGCTGGCGTGCTGCCTTGTTTAATTTCTATTTTTTTGTAGTTATAATCCATTGATTTACTGTTTATATAATTTTTGTTGATTGATAGACTGGTGGTTTGTGGTCAAGGCTGTAGGGGAGGAGGAGGCCTCATTAGGTCCTTGTGGGCAGTCATAAAAGGCTAAAGGGCCTAGTGCACTAGTGTGTGTAGCTGTATAAGGCTGGTAGCTCAGAGCAGGTTGCAGGACTTTTAAGCTGGGTCCCAGTGGGGGGATCTTGGCTAGTAGCCCAAGCTGCAGAAAAGGGTGCCCTTGGCTCCATGTCCAGTGGACAGGCCTCTGGGCTAGAAATCCTGGGCTCCAGATTTAAAACTAAAGGAAGGCCATGGGCCCCAAGAGGGTTGAGGAGCTAGAGCCTCGGAGTCAAACCCTATCTGGTGGGTTTAGACTGGTAGGCCTAGTTAGAGAAAGATGGGGGACAAGGCCCATGGTGGCTGAGAACTGCAACATAGAATTACAATAGGCAGTCTTCCACTTGTAAGAATAATAATATTTACATCAATAATATTTACATTAAGATGTGGCAGAAAGTAAAGTTGGGATAATATAGAATTGAAACATTAAGGGATTTCAAGGGTGCCCCTCATAGGCCGGAGAAAAAAAAATGCCTCTGGGGAGGCCAACGTGTTGCAGTACCCCATCCCAGGAACCTAGTGGCCAAGGGCAAACACTGTATGGTGTTAGAAGTGACCTGTTTCTCAGTGGAGTCACCAGCAGCCTGATTAAGGGAGTTACAAGTTGCATTCATTTCAAACCTCCACCAGCATTCTTCTTCACTGGAAATCTTGGGAAGAATTGGAGGAAATGGGAACAGATGCTACAATTATACCTTGCAGTCATAAAGTTTGAGAAAGAGGCAAAGGATTATAAAATTGCAGTCATGCTTCACTGCATTGGGGATAATGCCCTAGAAATTTACAACAACGATCAAAGGGTGTTTGTAGATCCTAGTAACAAAGCCCTTACAGAGGAGCATTCAAGAGCTACTGTGAACCCAGAAAAAAACCCTGTTTTTGAAAGGTATCAGTTCTGGCAACTTAGGGCGTGTGTAAACAAAATTATATTTCCCATTTATGCCGATGCAACTGTTTTTGTGTTTGCATGACCTGGGATTTCCTGCCACTGTAAAAGTCCATTTAGCACCTTAAACTAACACTACTCTGGTATGTGTTAATTTGTGGAGCTCTCCAGTTATGCCGCCCCAACTGTGGATTTGTTCATGCAAACAGCCAGAGACTCCAAAGACTTTTAATTAATCCCCTTCACCATGAGGGGGCGCTGTGTTCCAGCTTTAGCCAGGTGGTGCCACCATGTGTTCTTTTTTTGTAACCCTTCTTTGCTCCTCACTCCTCTCCTCCCTCACAGCATACAGTGGAGTGGAGTGGCCACAGGTTCGTTGGTCTACTCAGCAAAATGATTATTATTTTAATTTTAACAAGAAGAAATGGGGGAAGCCAATAATCCCTTAATTTACTACCCCCTTGTAATTCTTGTGCCCCCCCTACCACCTACAGTGCATGTCCTCCTGCCCCTACCCAGGTACTCTCCTGTCCTCCTGCCCCCCCCCCCCCCTCTCGTCATCGTAATGGTAAGTTTTTTGCAAGTAGTTTGAAACTTTGGAGTGAGTGGTTATATGACTGCCTTCCATATTGCAAACCTTCTGAACTTCATCGCATTCCATTGCAGAACCACAACCAAAAGTCAAGGGGCAGGACACTGCCTTCCAGACCCGATGCCCAGGATGTGCAGCGTCCTGGGTGATATTTAGGTAATATGTCCCACCAGCCGTGTGTGTGTGTGTGTGTGTGTGTGTGTGTGTGTGTGTGTGTGTGTGTGAGTGGGGCGGGGGGCAAAAGTTCAGTGTTTCAACTGTGCTCCAAATTCCAGTCCTCTTCCTCTTTTTCTCTTTCCCCCTCCTTGCAGAAAACTTTCATGGGCAGAACTCGTGGCAACCTGTAATGAATGAAGACAGAGTGAAAGAAATAACATTATCTTCAAATTTACAGTTTCTTTTTTTTTAATTTTTTTACGTTTTGTATATATTTTATATTGTGAAGCTACTGGGGAGGAAGATCCCATTTTTTTAAAATAAATTATTTTGAATGGAGTGTTTTATTTTTGCTCTCTATATATCATGTTTTCTTTGGGGTGGGTAGGGTGATTTTCAGAGACTGTGCCCACCTCAGCATGGGGATGCTGTGCTTGGGGGGGGGCATGGGGGTTGTGGGCTTTGGGGGGGGGGGGGGGTTATGGAGTCATGGCATTACTTACTGGAAAGTGTTGCAAAGAGTTGCAGGGTGGACTGCTATTGGAGGGAGATTGAATATTTAAGTGCTAGGGTACAGCCACCATTTTTTTGTAAGAAAACTGACAAAACAACCCCACCACCCCCAGCAGCAAGCAGGCAATCTGCAAAACTTCTCCATGCATGGACCTCCCCGGGTGTTTAGCCTTTAGCAAGTCTTTAAGACAATATAATGCTTTTCATATGCATGATCACCAAGGGAGACCTGGCAGTTCTTTTTCTTTGCATGCAGGCTGTACTGTTATGGGAGGTGCAATGCAAAAACTGATTTTTTTTTTTTAATTCTTTCTTTGCAATGCAATGTTTTATTTACAAAATCCTGCACACAGCACCTTTTGGAGCCAGCTGGCTTGGCAGACCGCGCCCCCCCACCAGCCAACTGCAACCTGCTCCCCACCTGGAGAGAGCTCATCAGATTTTGGTTAGGATTCTGTGTCCTCCCTTGCCATATCTCTCCTCTCAGCCTTCTCAAAGGACAGGGAGAAGGTGAGAGGGAAACAAGGAGCAGCATTCCCAAGGCAGACCAGAGTAGTCTGTTCGGCTATCTCTAGGCCTCTGCAGAATCAAGTGTATTTAAAAGAAAGCATCATTGTGGGAGAACTTCTTTTCATCCAAATTCAACAAATTTGTAATACCTCCTTCTCCTGCACTAGGTATTGGCATGTCCTCATCAGATGGGTCTCGGCTACCGCAGGGAGTCACCCTAGCAGGGAGCTGCTAATGAGTCAAGGCCAGGATTTCAAAAAGTACTATGCTCCCTACAGAGAGGCCAGAAGTGTTATGCAGCAGATGGCCCCCAGACACATTATTGAGGTGCCTGGAGGGGAGACCAACCAACCTGAAATACAAGCCCTGACCAGCTTTGTGTCCAGCCTGGGAAGCTACTGCCCTCCTGCCCCTGGCTGGCTGCAAACCACTCCCCTGTTTCCAGGTCCATGCCCTGAAATTAAGCTGGAGCAAGTACAAATCAGATTTTTTTTTTTTGTTCTTCATCTTTATTCTTTCATAATGAATTGAATTGCAATCAACTTAATTGAGAAATCACAATAAAGCTAAAACAGTATACACATTTTTGTTTTACTCAACAATGCCGTTGGTAGTCAAATGGTGAATACATTTTTTTACGGTACAGTCATTGCCAGCAAACACAATAGAAGAGGATAAGACACCAATTCACAATATGCTACCAAGGTCCCTTGAGTAATCCCCTTGATATTCATTATGCACCGTCAACCACATCTGAATGACCCTCTCCCCACCACATGGATGAGAAGGTTAACTATTATAGCTCTTGGCGGGCTGGCGGGGGCGGGACCAAGAACAGCAGCAACCTACATTTTCAAAAACATTCTAAAACCATTTGTAAAACAATTCGCAACACACCTCCAAAAGCTGTATGTGGCACTACACAAACAGATTGATGGTGTACCTGGGTAGGGAATGGGAGGGTTCTAGTAGGACCCCCCCATATTGGAAACTGTACAAAGATCAATGAGCTCAGGAATGCTGGGAAATGTAGTCCAAAAAAAAGAAGAAAAAAAAAAAGCCAGAACAGTTTGCCACCACCAGCACCATCGACAGCAATCACCAATCAACCAGGCAGCAACACAGAACCACCCACCCACCTGCTACTCTAAATCCTGAACATTTTATATCATAGCAGTTATCACAGCAGTTATAGTAAATAAAAGAAAAAAACACTTATATTTGTAACATGGTGGGATGGAAAGGGAAAGGGAAAGGAAAAGGAAGGGAGAATTCATATGCCTTGTCTTTGGGATTAGGACGGGGGTCTTTGGAATTGTGTACTAATACAGAGAGACCAGACCAACCGAGCATAGGTGGCTGCAAGTGACAAAGATTTTGGGGTGACCATGACTGTGCCCAGGGGAGACTTACAATGACAGTCAGGACTGCCCAGTGAGAGTCTGGGGCAAGGGATTGGGGAGGCCAGGCGGTTTACATGTATGT